TCTACGTCTAGGAAGCCATGACACTTTGGTCTCCAGCCTGTGGCCTCAAGTTATTCCCTCACGTGCTTTACAACACAGAGAGCTGCTTTAAAACATAACTGGGTCTTGCTCTTCACCCCCTTGCATTGCTAGCTGTGAGTTCCTAGGTCCAGAAAAGGGGTAGCTTTCTACCAGCGACATATGCAGGCTGTAGCAGACCCACAGCACATCCATTTCTGTTCCCCTCTAAACGCTGGTCTGTGAGGGCAGACCTGCTTTTTTACAGGATGCCTTACAGAGCTCACAGTGCAACCACAGAAAGGTGGAGGGTGGGGAAGAGCTTTGCAATGACAGAGCTGGACTGGTGCGGGGGCTGATTTTCAGTTCTGCCACAGAAATCCTGGGGCCATTTCCAGCCTTTGGTGTAGTCGCCCGTCTGTAACAGGCTGACAACAGTGTCTCTTATGTCATGTCTTTGGGGGCTCTCCTTTTCTTCAAAGAAAAGAAAATGACAGCAGCCAAGGTGGCAAACATGAAGATGGGGCATTATTTACTTAGCGTATGTTCAGCTGCCATCATCACATGAGCATTTATTCCTCTGGCAAAGAAAATAACCAAGTGAACCAACTGGGCTTGTTTCCTCCCAGCTTTGGGTAAAGCAACCGCATTATTTTTTTCCTCCCTCCATTTTTTGCCTGGTAAACTTAGAAGTTTGAGGGACCTGAGTTTCAGTGAATAGATGTAACCTCAGGCACTCTGCTTTTACAGTAAAGTCTGGATTCACAAAATTCCCCTGTATCACGTTTAATTGTTTAGCAGAAATAGTAACCTCTTAGCTTATAAAGAAATAGCTGACAATATCCTTCTGGACAAAATATTTTTTATGGAGTATGAATTATATTTCTAGGAAAAAAATCCAGAATTCTGTATACTGGCTTTACGCTGTTTATTCTCCCAACACCATATCTCACACACACTCACACACCATTAGACAAAGATTACAACTGAAGATAATGATATGGTAGTTATTACCCAACATGCTAAAACTTTAACCATTGATGAAAAGGTATGTTTGAGAGTTGATGCTCATGCCATGTGGTTCCTATCAATGGGAGAAAGTAAGAACAGGGAAACAAGCTTAAAATTACAGTTCACATTTAAGAAATTTAACAGAAGCCACTTTTTCTTTCTTGCATAGAGGCTGAGCTTAACCACAGAGCTTGAGCTTAACCATGCCATGCAGAAACTGTGCGTGCACTTCCCTGCCTCCTTGGTTGTGAAGTTCTAATGTGCAGGCCTCCGAGTCCAATCTTGCGATCACAACTTAACTGTATAAACCCTCTTCTAGCACTGAACAGCAAATGCCAGACACGCCTACTGCTGCACATACACATGCACAAGTGCCTCTTTCTGCACCTTTGCAATGCCAAGGGGCTTCTGTGCGCACTTCTGCAGCCAGCCTTTCACTTGCAGCTCTGCAGCCTTCCACCTGAGCTGCTGTGTCAGTCTTTTTCCCTTCTCCTTCTCCTATGCTTTTGCCTTTGTGCTGTTATTCTCATGGCCTTCCACCCGCAAATCTCAGTATTGTAATAGGTTCTCAGGCAAAGCAATTGCTAACAGTCTGAGAATCCCTCCTTTCTTCCCCCTGTGTTTCCTACCTGTTTTGTGACTTTAGTTTACATTAGGTGAAAAACAAGACTTAGCAAATAGAAAAATAGATAACAGTCACGTAAATATCCCGTAAGCATCACCAGCCATAAACATGCACAAAGTGGAGTGACTGGCGTGCACCACCTGCAACTGATTAAATGTGATCCTGTCAGCCCTGGCAGCATCATACTCAGGAACAACCAAGAGGGAGCTTGGCTGGGTCTGAATGCCAAGCAGAGAGTTAACAGAGGAAAAAGCCTGACAAGAATAGTTATAATCATCTCCTCATCCTCACTGCTTGGTGGCACTGGGAGGGACACTCTTCTGGGGGCCCCGTTGCTTCGGTTCTTGGCTGGCCACTGGGCAGTTTCCCCCTTCCTTCTATTCCGGTTCTTTTTCCCCTGTGTTAACTTCAAATTGATGTGTGGACCCCACTGATAAAACTCTGTGCAGGTAAGCCTGTCTCAAGAGGTGCGATGACACTGTCCCCATACAGTTGGCAGGGTCCCCTCCCCTTCCTTCAGCATCAGCCCCCGGTGGGAATGGTGGGAAGCAGAGCTACAGAGGAACAGCTACACCCCAGCAAAAAATAACTGACTCTATGTATTATTGCTTGAGTTAGTTTTACTTAGTTATTGCTTAACTTTGCTATATAAAGCAAGATCTTACTCTAGGATAGAATGCTACACAGAACTAAGATTAAGCAACACTCCATTATCAGGACTGAGATTCAGTGGTTTTAATTTTTGTCAAAGTTTTGAGCATTCAGGCTGACGTTCTTCCAAACCAACGCTCTCCCTGACAACAAAGCATTACCCTCTCACTGATTATTTTGGTGGGACAAGCAAATATGACAAGTCCTGGTGCTCTGCCACCGAGAAGCACTCCCTCACTCCTGCTCTGGAGCGGGGGGACTTTGTAGCGGGGGCGAGGGGAGGGAGGCGGGAGGCCGCAAGGCACAGATACCCATCTTGCCGTTGCCGCGAACCTGCCT